AAGTTCGATGGATATCCATCGAACTTATTGGAAGAAAGAATATCTTTCGAAAATAAGGAAAGATGAAAGCGTCCATCTATGGGCTTGAATCATATCTACTAGTTATTACTTGTTAGAGAATAAAAATGATGGATCCACGCTGACCTGTAAGTTTTAGTGAAACTGATCCTTTTCTAACATAACAGTTTATTATTTAGAAGATCAAGGTAAAATCTTATATAAAAAAGGGAAGGGGGGTTCAAAAAATCTTGCATTTACTTACATGGGGGTCAAAAGTCACCAAAATTGTCTTTACGTAATTAATTAATGGCCCCTATAGCTTGTCGGATTCTCTGAGCAAAAATAAATCCCAGTTACAAAACTTGTACTTTTCCATCTTAGACACTTTGTTCTTAGCAATATTTATTTGTTAAAAATAGTATATTTTATTTTATTAGTTTTGAAATGTGAAAAACACATTTAAGGCACATTTGTGCAGCTAGAATAAGAAAGCCTGTATAGGCTTGATTTTATGACCTTAGGTACTTGACTTATACAAAGGACTCCTTATTTTACTATGTACAGTACAACCAAATATTACGGTATTAGTTAAAAAGAAAAACATGTGTTTTACTACGGACAATACAGAGGGTTAGACCTCACAATAAAATAGTTTTAACATTATAGTTAGTCTGCGACTAAACTCTGTCAAGGAACGACACTTTTCTCGATACGATTATTTTAAAATAAATATTCTATTTGAATCACTCTCTGTAGATAATAATATTGTATTTTCTCATTTATTCTATAACTTCCTACATAGCTAATTGCAAATTAAATTCTACTATGATTAATCATCAAATCACCATTTAGAAATAGAATTAAAATTAAAATTACAAAATTGCCTGATTTTGACGTGCTAAAAGTAAAGCACTATCTCAACCGCTTCAAGTCGGAAGACAAGCAACAAAATTAGCACGTGATCGGTTAGAAATTATCTAATGATTTAGTGACTTTGTAAGAAATTATCCAACGATCATTTAGAGATTATTTTTTATCGCTGAGAGATCATACGGTGATTGATCATTGATCACCTAAAGATCACTGGATGGTATATTCTTGATTACTAAGGGATCTACTATTGATCATGAGCTGATTGAACATTGATCACTGACAAGTTACCTATTAATCAAAGTGATCAGACATTAATTAGTTAGAGATCACTTCGTGATTAATTTAATAACACTTGGTGATCAATTAGTGATTCACTAAGAAATCATTTATTGGTCATTTAAAAATCAATTACCGATCAATAAAAGATTGTACAGTGATTTTTCTTCGAAGTGATAGTGAGTGACCTGGGATTAGTTTTGGCAAA